CGCAACCGTAAAACAAAAGTGATGGCACACTGGTGTAGTATTTATACACAACCTTTCGGTTTCCACCATATATCAAGTCTGTAACAAAGTTGTTTCAGTCCTGCGCACGTTGCTTGTGCCTTGGAAATCCGGTGTTTACTGCCTTGACTACGCTACCATCGTGCAACTACTAGTCTAATCACCGAGAGATGTGCACAAAATTTCAAAAATAGGAGATGTAAGCAGACGATCGGAGTTTCATGAATGCACGTAGTTGAGTTTCACTTAAATCCCTCTTTAAGTCACTGTCTCTCCGACAGTAATCGTGGTGACAGGTGGAAAGCTTCCTCAGACTATTTTGCTCACCGCTTAGAAATCACTATTACTTCCTCGCCTTCAAAGTAGAACTACGACCTGGCCAATTCAGAGTGCAAACCGGGGACGTTGAGCGAGTGTAGTCTGAATGCATGACGGCCATAGTTTCGACGATAAAAACTGGTCTCATCAGACCAACAAAATCCTGTTCACGTGTGTACATTCGGAACCCAGATTTTTATCCTTTCGTTTGCAACGGAACCGCCTTATCGCTCCACACAGTAATCCATTGCGTTTCGCGTCATTGACGCCAACACATCAACTTGAGACATGCTTTTACCTGAAGAATCTCGGTTGCCCATCACACAAGCAGAGCACATTTATTCACTACTCGTCTTAATGTAAGTTCTGAAACGCAAGTCTTCATTTTGAAGGACGATGAGCTAGAAAGCAACCCATCTGCAGTACCCTATTATCGACCGACCTATACCAGAAACCACCACATGTACCGGTCTCTTTGTAACGTTATATCCACCATGAAAACTATTGTATACTTTTTACCGCTCCCCGAGCAGCAGCGATTCTTCCATTTTTGATATTCTGTCTCCCAGCGGCAGATTCTAACAGCCAAATTACCATTGTCAGGGATTTCAATGTTCACACTAAGGAATGGCTGAAGAACCCCTCAAACACTGCGTTCACTGGACGCGGAGCCGAGGCTTTTGCTGTGGTCAAAAACTTAACTCAACTAGTTGACCTCACCACGCGCATCCCTGATCGCATTGGTGACCGCGCCCACACACCTGACATCATTCTCACATCCGTTCCCTCTTCTTTCACCGACATAACTTCCCTTTCCCATTGTCTCATTTTTCCCAATCCAATTCACCACCGTACTCCAGACGCGGCTATTGGCGTTACGATTCAGTCAACTGGGACGGTTTTCGTGACTTTCTGGCCTGTTATCCCGGGAATGATTGTTCTTTCAAATCTGATGTTTCCACCAGTTCCAAACTTCACACAAATTGTTCTTTAAGGCATGTTTCTTCATATTCCACAATTTCCCAAACCCAAGAAACCACGATCCCCTGAGTGGTAAAATCATGCTTGCAAACGTGCAGTACGTTTTAAAAACAGCAATCCGTCGTTGGCACCGCACACCCAATCCGGCATCCCGCAACCGCTTCGTACAAGCCAGAAATAAATGCTCGGTCACTATTCAGAGAACTAAAGAACGCTTCATTTGTCACAAAACTGCGCTCTTGGCTTCTTCCGCCATCGGTAACCAAACAGTCTGGTCCCTCGCTAAAGCGGTGTCACGTAATTTTTGCCCTTCCAACTTTCCTCCCATTTGCAATTCCTCTGGTATCCTTGTTTGTGATCGCCAAGAAAAAGCGGTCTTCGCTTCCAACTCCACCTTAACTACCGAATATACAGTTCAACCCTCCTCCTACACATCCAATCACTTCTTTCTACCTGCCATATTAACCAGAAAGGTATGCCAAACTTTCCGCCGTTGGGATGTTTGTAAACCACCCGGTCCGGACGGTATTCCACCGATCGCCCTAAAAATGTGCTCCAAAGTTAGCCCGTTCTACGCCGTCTTTTCTGTTTTTCACTCGATCATAAACCTTTCCCTACTCCATGGAAAAATGCCATTATTTTTCCAATCCCAAAGCGCGGTGACCCTTCCGACCCCAACGACTACCGTCCCATTACTCCCATACCTGTAAGTTCGAAAGTGTTTGAAACCATTATCTCCGACCAGCTGCGTACGTTTCTCGAATGACCGTCAGTATGGATTCCGACCACATCGATCTACGGGTGACTGACTGGCGCTCGCATCACATTCGTGGTCGGTTGCACTCCATAACCACGGAGAAATTCACAAGGTCCTGCTCGATGTTTCAATGGCCTTCGACCGCGTTTGGCATGGTCTGCCGTCGAAATTATCCACGTTCGGATCCT